GCGTTGCTCGGGTGTCCAAGGTTACGGTGCAACTTCTCGACGGCTTCTTTTTCCTGCTTGCTAAGCTCCTTGATCGGCGGCGGCTCCACTTGCTGTACAGTTTCCCCTGGTTCGGGCTCGTCCTCGGCACGCTCTATCTCCTCGAGGTTGTCCAGGTCGATGGCATAGTTCTCGGTCGTGCCGCCGCGGGGCAGTCGTCCTGGTTCTCCTCGAAGGCCGCCTGGTAGAACAGCTCGAAGTCCTTAGCGTGCGCGGCTCGGTACCGCACGGAGTCGACCGCATTGGTCACCACGCGCCTCTTTCTAAAAAGGCGTTGGGAAGCCGAACTGCTCAAGACCTGTGCTCGCATGAGCTTCCAAGACTCGGGCTTCTTTGGCTGCTCGGGCCAGCACAAAGACACCACCTCGTCGCCAATGAGCTCGGGCCAGTCGACAAACATGATCTACCCGGTCCGGACGAAGAGGAAGTTCAAGATGCAGCACCTCGTTGGTCATTTGGCGCCACTGGTCCCAGTCTTGGCTCTCGGGCTGTCCACGGCCCAAAGAGACAATGTGCCGGGCCTGCTCGCCCCCGGTTCCTTTTCCAGCTCGGCCACCCAGTTGCACAAGTCCCGGTGGTAGCCGCTGAGGTCAACCTCCATGCCGTCATCGACCGTGCCGTGCAGGTAAAGCTCGGGCTCGTTCACCACGTGGAAGATCCCCGGGGAATACTCTTCTCCGAGGTCGGTGAAGTCGCGCCGGTCTCGCCGCACAAGGCCCCGGGAACTCTTCATCACGACAAAGTCCTCGAGACCAGGAGCTTCGGAAGCCAGCCACCTTCCAAAGGAAGCCGGCGAAGAACTCTTAAGCACATGGGCTCCTCCGGCTGCTCGGTGCCCCTCTAGGCACCGCTCGTCAAACGCGACGCCAGCACGGAGCGCTGCCTCAGGGTGTCCTGGTAGAAGGCCAGGATCTGCTCGGCCGCCTTCTTGTAGTTCTGCGCTGCCTGCACCCATTCCTCGCGAGTGTCCCGCGTCGGGAAGTGCGTGCTCTTGAAGCGGGTCTCCGACTCGATCTGCTGCAGTCTCCTGAACTCCGCGGTGAGTTGCTTGGTGGTGTGGCCCATCCTTTCCTCCATGTTGCTCAGGGCCATCTCCAGCGAAGCGCACGCGTCCTCGGCCATCTGAAACTCCATGGCCTTGCCCGTCAGCAGGTCGATCTGGGCCGCCATCTGGTCCATCTTGTCCTGCTGCTCCGCCAGGGCCTTCACGTAGTCGCTCTCGCTCAGCATC